ACTTGTCCTGCTGCTAAGAAATACTTGTCCTCTGTGAAAAATCTGTGTGCCTGGCTAGCTGCTGTTTGGAGATCAGGATGAGACTATTACACCTTTTTGGCCCTGACCAAAATGTTCTGGCTTACTGCACTTGGCAAAGCAGGTTTTATTCCAAATGGGACACCCGTCAGCTACAGCAATGCACATTGTATTACTCATTCAGCAGCAGCAACTCTCACAATGATTTCTTCAATACCTGGCTGAAGTTGACTGTAGTTCTCCCAACTGTAACTTCAATCAACATGGAATTTTCAGATTTGATTACTGCAATGCTCTCCATTTTGCTGCAGAACTGCAAATTGTTTGGTTGTGTGAGTAAAAGATCCTCTCCATGAACATACAAGAGCACAAAGGCACAACGACAGGAGTGGGAACCCAAATAACAGCATCAGAGAAATGTAGCACCCCAACCCGGCTGCTCTCAGGGCTATCACGGGAGCTCTTAATTTCAAAAGCTTTCAAACCACGTAGTACAACAGAAATGACAAAAGAATTTTAATGTAAGAACAATGCATTCTAGTTTTCTATAAGACAACTCACTGTCCATTTTCAACCAGTATGTGCAGGACTGAGATTATGTTTTTCTCAAGTGCTCTTGTCGAGCATCTGTGCCCTTTGCTATGTGGAAATTCAGCATGTAAGGACACATTTACTGCATCACTTAACAGCTAAGCTGAAAATCCATGCATAATTGCTATTCTTCCTCCTACTGTAAGTTATTACAAGTTCTGCTTATTGAAAAGAACCCTGGAAGTACTCTAATAAGAACATCTATATTTATTTCTGTGATCAAGCATTTATAGTCTGAAAGTACTGAAGATGAGGAACTTTTATCCTATTAGGATAATCATCCATTTCTTTGTAAGGTTTGGTACCTTCTCCCCAGTTGGCTAGCTTAATTGACAAATTAAGCAGAAGTACACGGCCAATAAATGCTAGGGAAAGACTCCTTTTTTTAACAAAGGTGAGAAATGGAGAGTGATGTGGAGAAAGTGACTTTTCTTAGACACTTAGGGACTTCCAGACAGGATATATAAAAGGGGTGGCTTTCAACTTATTTAATGTTTGGTCCAAGTTGATCTTTCATCCAACACACATCTGAGAAATGCATTAAAGTTATTTTTACAACACTTGCTGGAGTTTCATATTCTGCCCTTTTTCAGCAGCAAAGCAAATGTCAGTGCTGTGAAGCTCTGGAAACTCATGCTGAATGTCAGAAACAGTGAGATCTGTAACTCAGAAGCCTTGAACTTTTAGACCATAGGAGCCTTAATGCCTGGCAGCTGCACACCAGGTTATAACTTGGAAAATGTCAGGGAAGGATGAATTGGGATTCCTTGTAATGCAAGTAGTGAAGAAGTATGTCCAAAAGTGACATATAAAGCCTCAGGGCAAATAAAGCCATCCACATGCAGTCGTTGCCAGCTGCTTCACAAAGAGATGCTCGTACCTGCTGTAATGGAAGTCACAGGTCTAGCAATTTGAAATGGCAATGACAGGAGATGGGAAGAAGAATTTATTTAATTTTAAACACCGTCTGAAAACTACTGCAAGGAGAGCCACAGTTAATGATGAACCTAGTGATATACTGACTTTATTAATCAAACTATACATGGAGCACGAGTCTAGCAAGAACTAGTAGATTAAAACCAGGTTGAGTCATCATTTACTTCTGCCCACAAACACAGTAGTTCATCACTGCACACTGCAACAGAGTGAACATTTGCTTTTTCATGAAAGGGATGATCAGTCAAATTTGAAATATCAAACAAATTCCTACTTTGACTCAAATGATAAACTTGTGTTTATCAGAGGGAGAGGGGATTCCCTTATTTAGATATAAAATACATCTTATACATCTTATCTACGTATGTGCCAAAGGTCGAGAGCAAGTTGATCTAGCTTTGAAGTCAGCCCTGCTTGGAGCAGGAGGTTGGATTAGGTGACTTCCAGAAGTCCTTTCCACCCTAAGGCCTTCTGCAGCTCCTGTCTTGTGGACTTCACACAGGCTCTTACCCCACTCCCACTGATTATAATGCCCAATGTCTACTTAATTCCACAGTGCACACTCAAACCCTCACAGTTTAGTTAACACTCAGACAGGCAGACTGACTTTGGCTTCTAACTTCATTGTGCCCAAATTCCTGCCTCCTGCATCACCTCAGGGTTGCAGTGGGAGGAAGACTGGGGTTCTAGGTATCAGCAGGTATCGGAATTCAAATAAACAAGGAGAGACTGTACTGACTGTGGAGTTCACTGAAGTGACACATTGGAAAGATTAACAGAAGCCGTGGTTCTGCAGGAAATGCTAAAAAAGCATGACAATCTCACTTAGCCCAGGCAGCACGCGCTCCAGAAGACATGGTTCTCATAACCCAGGCAAGGTCAAGTCCTTCCCTCCCATTTGGACCTTAACATTCAACTTCCTTAATGCAAATTTGCCCTCCCAAACATTGGCAGGGTAGCTTGGGAAAAAACTAAGCCTTCCTGGAAAATTATCAACCAGCTTCCATTGTCCTTGAATAGGGCATAAGCATGTAACTACATCACCTGGAAGCGTGTTTCTCAGATTTACAGAGACTTCTGCTTATTTCAATGGAGACACTAACAGGCAACTGATACTTTAGTTTCTGTGACCACTGAAGGACAGTGGGAGAGTAACTGCTTATGACACAAGAAACAGCTTTCCCCAAACATAAAATCATCCTCCTGAGCATTTAAGTTTTCAATTAAGTTTTTGTTTATTCCTTAGAAGAGAGATACACACTCTTGTTTTCTCTCAATGTCACAATCCTAGAGAAAAATGGAAGATACGCTTTTCCTTTGTCCAATATGAACTTCTCACTGTGCAAATATAGAAGAAAAGCAGTAATTTTGCCACATACTACAAAAGCTCCTGAAATTTAATCAAATAAAATGAAAACTCAACCTCAAATAGTATTACTATTTATTACTCAAATAGTAATAAAATATTTTTAAAAATACTTCAATGTTCTTTGGTTTAGTCCTTCTGCATGTGTTTCTTGGTTGCTCATGCATAATAAATCAAAAGCCAATACTGGCTCCTTTTGGATTCCGCCAAGGAAACTTCCAAAGGTGAGCAGGCAGAACTGACATTTTAAGTTGTCTCAGAGTCAATTTACAGCAGCAATATGAACCTATGACTGTGTCACATAAAAAACATGAAAACTGTACTTATATGTACACAGAACTGCCCTGGTTTATGCTGAAAATGGGTACATATCTATGCTGCCAGAAGACCACTATATACACTACGCAGACCAAAATTGTGTACTGGAGCATAAATGCCATAGCACGGGAAAGGTGCACACAGAAGGAACAGATAATTGCATGATACAGTACTACCTCTTTTCACTCCTCAGGCCACTCTGAGATGCTTTTTAGAGTCCAGTATGTGACGAAAGCATCATGTAAATTCCACAGGCATAAACACTTGTTGCTCATTTCAATTTCCACTACAGATATCACACTGCAGGCTCACCTGGTGCCTCATATCAGCATTTGGCCTTTGGTTCATAATTATGAATTTTCAGGAGACAGAAAATCCTCATACTCATTGCCTGCTTAACAGACAGTTGACAAGGAATGGCTAACAATCTTTCCCTTCTTCCATTAAGGGCATTCCACCTGAGTTGTGAAATTTTGTCCCTTAAACAAACACTGATTATAGAAAATAAAAGTAAAGCTTGGCAGTTCTCCTTGAAGTCCACGTTCTTACATGAGATAATAGCTGTCCTTTTGCTGGATCCAATTTCAGTCTGCCATTCTACAAGTAGCAGTTTTGGGCAACTCTCTCTCACGGCTCTTCCTTAGCATTGAACCCAACCCTAGTCAGAAGTCAGTGCAGACCCTCCCAGTATGCGTGCTAACAACAAGGTTTGTCATGGCAGAATCAAAACGCCTCTAAGCTGAGGAAATCGGTGATCCTGCTGTCCTTGATATGCCATTATCAGCACAGCAAGGAATAGGCAAATGAGTAGTCTGCTCTTGGAACAGACCGTAGTCCTGCAATCAGATAACCAAAAGCAAACCCCAGCTTTTGTGGCAATGGTGGTACATTCAATAGGACACCTCTTTAGGTGAAAGAGTTATACAGAAAGATTGGAGTGCTCTCTAGTAATTTTAGATGGCATGTCCTCAAAGCCTATGGTTTTTGATATTCCCTTTCTCCCGAGCTGTGAAAAGCTGTTGGATGCAGTACAGTGCACAGCAAATGTGAGAGAGCAGAATCAGAACCTCTGTCCAAAGAACTACACAAGCTGAGGTTGCAGACACCTTTAACAAGTCTTTCAATTGAAGCGCTAATGTATTAAGACTCCACCTTCACTTTTCCCTCAGAGCTCCTGCAAACTAACACACTTCTCAGAATTTCTTCTTGCCAATAACTATCCACAATCTAAAGGAAAGGGATGAACAATATAATACTTGGAATCTTTTTGTTTGAATCTAATACGAATCTTTGTGCCCAGATTGAAATCTGCATTTCTCTGTGGACTTACCATCCATGTTTGGTTTTGCAGTCCTCTTTTTTCCCCTACCCAAAACTTAAGCATGACGAAAAAAGTCACCAGATGCTTGGAAATACTCTTGAAAATGTAATCTTTTGGAGTCTTTTGGAGATAAAATTCCTATTCATTAAGATGAATTAACATAATTCATACTGAATTCTTACCATATACGGATCATGCAGGTGCACACAAAATAGTTAATAATAATTAAAAACCTATGACTGAGAAGACAAGTGAGAAATTATTGCAGGATCAGAATCTGCAAATAGGTGTGTGGTTACTAAAATATACAATGCTGAGCATGATTTTTACTAAAAGTAACTACACTACCAATAGGACTAATAGTAATTTCAATGTAGTGAAAATTATCCTTATTTTCTGGTAAGGTAGTTCTTCTTATCAGAAAAAAATAAGGGCAAATTCCTATTTTACCTGCCGAGGGGTCCTCTCGGATTTGCTCCTGCACCATTCCCAGTCTGTGAGTTCAGGTTTATGGCTTTCCTCATGAGACAGCCTCCGTTCTGGTCCCTCGGAAAAGGTCGACTTCTCAAAGTTTCTGACCTCTTCTCTTCTCGCGGTTCCCGGTTTGCCAGGAAGGAGGCGGTGGGCTCCCGGTCTCTCAGGAAGAAGGAGGCGGTGCGTCCCCGGTTTGTCGGGAAGGAGGCGGTCGGTTCCCGGTTCGTCGGGAAGGAGGCGGCGGTCGGCGCTCGCCTCCTGGCCCGGGGCCGGCGCGGCCGCGGGGCCCGCCGGGGCGTCCCGGGAGCTGTCCGCCGGGGCCGTGGTGCTGAAGTCCGCCTTCCCACAGCGGGGGGGGTCGTCGCTCCCTCCCCGAGGTTCGTCCGCGCTACCGCAGCCGTAGCTCACCAGGTTGTGACAGGACGTAGATTGACCACCCCCGTCGTGGCGGTGGTGGTTTTCGCGGGATATTCTGTAGATTCCATAACCTTGCTGGAACGACAGGTTGAATTCGAAACCCCTGCGTTTGGCTAAGGGGAAAGGAAAGAAATGTCACATTGGAAGAGTCAAAACCAAGAAGACAAATGAGATTACACTCACAGTGAAAATGACATTCTAAAACATGGAATAAATTGTTTAACTACTGCTAGAAACAGACAATTTTCTATCCATAAAAAGAATGAATTGTTGAGAAGAAAGACTTCGCAGACAGTATGTTATTATACTGCCTTCTTAATGAATTCAGAAATTATACGTTCCAAAATTAATGGATTACCAGATTCCCAGAAACTGGTAGATTACCTGCCATTTTCAAAACCACTACGATATATGATATTTTGTCGGATATACACAAGAAGAAAAAATTTAAATTTTGTCATACTCTTTTTTTTCACAGCCTGTTTCAGCTATATTCCTGAAGGTGAAACAATGTACAAAATGATAAAATATTCCTGAGAATCTATAACTAACCTTCGATATCAATAGTTAAGCAAGAAAAACAGAATTCTACAATAAAAAAATAAATATTTGAAGTATTTACACAATGAAATTTTTGTATATTCTCCATTCTAAATTCAGTGCTCCAACTAATCTTACACAGTGATTGAAGAATTAAATAAAAATTCTCAGTCATTATTTATACCCTTTCATTCTTCCTCCCTTCTAACACAAATTACCTGAGATTCTTCATACTCTCCCTTTTCATCTTACATTATGCAGTAACTAAAGAAGTGCCTTTTATTTAACTAATGAAATCATCTTCCCACCAAACCTTTCATGCTAAATTATAAAATAAAAAGTATGGGGATACCTTTATACAACCTTTGTTTCTATTCAACAGTTTGTGTGCTTACTAGATCATATTTAATTGTGGGTGAAATTCTGACCTTAGCAGTCATTACATTAAAACTTGAGAATAGTCTTCAGTACAAATATCTAAAAGTCACAGATTTATTTTAAATTATTTTGTAACTGCTACTTCTCCATCTGCTGTATATTTATCTCTCTAAATAGCATTATCAAATACATCTGAAATAAACTGCCTTCGTGATGAACTGCAGTCATCCTCTCTGGGAAAGCAGTTAAAACGGCATCAGTTGCAGCACAAGCCATTATGCACTTGGAGAATGTGTTCAAAGCAAGTGAAAGCCATGAATGAGAATGGCTTTTCTCTAGGATTCAGGAGTTTATTTCTCCCTAAACATGCAGTGAATTTCAGGAATTCATCCACTGATGTCAGAGGACTTTTAACTCCAGAGAATGGGAAACAACACCCAGATCCTCAGAAGCATTTAGCTCTTAACTTCTGCAGTTGGACTAGATGATCCTTGTAGGTCCCTTCCAACTGAACTGTTCTGTTCTATTCTATTCTATTCTATTCCTAACTTTCTAAATAAAACTTGCCAGCACTTTCAATTCCCCTTGGACCAGGCCTCAAGGGACAAGTGTATCAAACTCTAGCACTACAACTCTCACTTCTGAAAGATTAATGCATAAATCTATTATTTTTATATACTAATATAATTGCAGTATTATAAATAGGAAATTGAAATTATTTTTCTGTTAAGTTATTCTTGATAATAATTATGAATGCAAATTAAAAAATCAACTATTGCTCTATCCTCCTTCCTTGTACACTTCCTTACTATATTTTTACTGGAACATATGTATTATATGTTAAGAGACATCTAACAGATACAGATGTATTTAATATCCTGTGGCAGATTTCTATCCTTCAAACTTTCCATAATTACCTACTGTTGAATAGCTGAATTTTTTTAAGTTCATACATTTTCAGTTGTCCCAGAAAGCAAACATGCATGAACATAAATTCATACATTTGTGTGTAATTAATGTAAATTCATCACTAATAAAGATACTAAACTTATATTAGTAGGTATAATAAGCTTCAATAAAACATTTAAATAAGAAACACTTCTCTCAGAAGAACACTGGAAATGTATTTTCATTTGTAATTCAAAATGCAGTCCCTCTGTGCAGATACCTCAGTCTCCGATGTTCATGTATTTCATAAGTAACTGTGGCCAGGAAATTTACAGGAAAGCATTATGCAGTCTTTTAGCCACAAATATGATGATGTTGTTCATGTTCACAGAAGCCTAAATGTGTTTTTCACTAGCAGTAAGTTCATGGAGTGATTGCTGTATTTCTTCTTCTTCTTCTGTTTCTCTGACAGAGTATTACCACATGATCAAGTTCTTTATGAAAAGAACAAAAGTCGTGTAACTGCAGGAGACAGGCTGTGGCAGTCAGCGTGTGCAGGGACTCCTCCAGCTGGTTTTACATGGAGGCCCAGAGAAAAACAGGGCTTTAGAAGATTCCAGGAAGGTTACCAGTGAAGGTCTGGCATCCTCTGTTACACCAAGGTAAACTTTATAAACATGCAGGGAAATATTTTTAGGCAAAAACTGTGTAGGAGTTCCTCAGCTTTCAACAAGCGGCATGAACACACTGAGATACAGGCCCCTCCCATAAATCATGTCCTTCGCTCTTTGCTTATTGGTGTTGCTGTGATTTCTGGTTAGTAGCTACAGCACAGGTGTACAAACAATAGCTCCTCTCCTTCTTATAATTTGCTTGCAATTAGCATGGTTTTTTCCCCCACAACGTTAAACATGTTTAGCATGTTCCATGTATTTGATTAGTAGAAGTCAGATTTTGGTAGATACATCTTTCCCAGGGTAGGAAAAGAGAGCAAAACTGGGATTCAGAGTCCATCAGAATCTGCTAGAAGATCTGACAGTGACCTGGGAAAATCAGCCAAGCTTCTGTGCCTCAGCATCCACTATTTCCCTCCAGCTGTCTTGCACGAATGTTGTGAGTCTCATTTACTGTTCTGAATAATGTCTGTATAATTCACGTAAATTATTTCAAGCAGTACAAAGTACTGCTACTGACACTAACTTCCTATCCTGTTTACTACAAGATACATTCCAGCTGCATGTCACCCTTCTATACTTACTTTTGAGTTCTTCTGAAGACACTGCATAAGAATCCCTCCTGCAATTAATGATGCAGCCACAGGGCAGGTGGATCCAGTGTTCCGACAGGACAAATACTGGGGTGACTGTGGCAGCCAGCAAAGTCAGCAGGAAGCTAAGCGTCTCAAATGAAAGGCTTTGAAAACCAGTAATGTGCTGGACAACCATTTGTATCTGAAAGGCAGAGCATTTTGAAATTTAAATCACTTCAGGCACATGAGATACTTCCAGGAATAAACAGAAGATCTCACCATTAATACGACACAAGTAAAAGACACAGGTTGTCATTAATGTTTGCTGAGCCTAACAATTTTGTTTTGAACAGAGAGTAGAGAAAATACACCGACAAGAGACTCTCTTCATTCTGCCTTTCTCAGAAAAGCCCTTTCTTAAGCTAAATATATACATCTGAGCACCATTAAAACAAGCAACGCGCAATCCAAGCAACTTAGAAGGCACTGCTAACGCAGTCTCTCCTGCATGGTATTGAGGAACCCCAACTCCTGGTGGGGAACAGGAGAGAACTTAGCACCACAGAGGGCTGCACTGCAGATGCTCTGTAATGCTCTCTTTCCCTTGAGAGAAGCTCAGGTGCTGACTCTGTACACATCCTGGGGACTGGGATAACACTGCCCCAGACCCATGTTCCGTGTTCTCAACAGACTCCTTTCTAACTATACATGAATGTAACTGTTTCCAAATATAGTAGTGCATGCACACAGACAGCACTCCCTCCCCCTGCCCCCAGTACTACAGAGATTACAGAGATACAATCAAACCTCATTTTTCTAATAAACTCCTATTTTTTAACCAGTCTGGCAAAGGACGTGACTCACAGCTGTGAGGAGGGGCAGAAGAGCTAGCTTAGTACAATTCACAGACCCCCATAATGCTGAGCAAATGCTTGTCAGACAGCTGGCAATACAAAAGGGTGGACCTTATTCATCCCTCTATTCAGGTGATACAAATGATGTGATGATAGAGTAACATACTGATGAATCAGGCTCTGCCAAACCTGCTGAAAGCCAGTTAAATTCATGTAGTGACAGAGACCTGCTTTAAAGGACTTTTGCTGGCACAAACTATCCTGTAAGGAACAATTGCAATGGCTACTGCTCATCTATTTCAATACATGGCACACCAACTCACATCCCATTTAAATATAAGTAAACATGAGAAAGTAAAGCAATCTGACAATTTACCATCATTGGAAGCCAGAGAATGACTTTTGTCAATGCAAGAATCAGCGAGAACCGTTTCTGGGCAAAGCCCACCGTGAAGCTCCTGCTCTGTATGCTGTGCATGCAACGGGGCTCGAGTGCACCGCTCTCAGCCACACCTTTCCTAAAAACTGCCTCCGAGCTTGGACACGCGTTTTGGAAATGCTTCAGGGTTTTATCCACAGGGTCCACCGGTGACAGAGATGGGGTAGCAGTACTGCAGCCTGCAGGTGTCCCAGGGGTGATGTAGCCTCGAGAGATTTCCTGGTAATCAATGTGTAATAGCTGTTGCTCATCTGAGCACAACAGCTGGTAAGTTAGAGGAACAGACAGCACTGTGAGGAGGCAAAAGCACAGCGAGTAGACAATAAATAAAAACAAGATATAGGAACTGGCACAGTCAGTGAAGCAACCCCAGGAGGTGGGGATGTACTTGCCCCAACCACAGAGAGGCAAAATGCAGATCAGCAAACTGACAATCCAAATGGTAAGAATGGCCCATACCATGCTCACTTGTCGCTTGGAAGTGCTGCAGCTCATTGTCTCTGTTTTATTGATGGTGTAGAAGTTGTAAGAAACTATAAGAGACCCTTTCAGGTTGCTAGAAATTCCCTGGAATAAATATATAAGCGCTGAGGTGGTGCACAGAGGCTGGGGGAGGACGTCACTTGACCACTGGGTGAGCATGAAAATAATCACTGGCACGATGCTGATCAAATCATCTATTGACAAAGAGGTCACAATCATTGAAACCGTGGTTTTGTTTTGCATTTTCAGCAGGGAAACTAGTGAATAAATGCTGCCCAGAAGTGCTGTGAATGCAATGATGAAAGTCAAGCAGAACAGAAAGACATTCAAAGTTCTCTGCTCGCTAGGCTTATCCATAATGCTATGATTTTCAGCGAAGAAGCTTGTCCCATTGAGTGACAAATTACTAGGCGTTACCGACATCGTCCTTGGCAAATTTTTTTCTTTGCCTTCTCACTGACTCTGCAAGTTTTCACTAGCTGAAACCTGAACAGTTAGCTCCACATCACAAGTTTCTTTGTTAACCTAGACTCTCTTTTGTGGCATCCAATGAAGAAATATTCAGGTGAAAGCACCCTTGATAACCAGAACAACTCATGCTCTCGAAAATTCAGGCAACAATGAAGTATCAAAGGTGCTGAAAAAAATGCAGTTCTTCATAATCCCTTCAGTACTGGAAGATGGTTAATTTAGGCTCTTCAGGTAATAACATGCCATTCACTTTTGACAGATATCAGGCAACGTGCCTTACTCACGAGTTCAGGTGAAACGAAGGCAGAATATCAGGTATGTTCAAGCTCTAGTAGCTCGGGGAGAAACATAGTAGAAATGAGAGGCTGTTGGATTCACCCTGCGCTGTTCTGAGCTGCAGGAGGGAGGAGTCAGATGCAAGCAGGATAGCAGAGACGAGGGGAGTGAGTATCTTCTCAGCCGGAGCTGCCTCTTAGCTGGATCAGAAGACTGAAACACTGTCCCTGCTAAGCCACACCTCCAATGCTGACACTGAAATCCAATGCAAATACTCAGATCTGATGTCAGCTGTAAATGTCATTCCTGTAAAGCCCATGGCTGCTCCAGGGCTGTGCATCATGAGCTAGAGCGCTGCTTTTATTCTTTCGTACTTCTGTACTCCAAGCTTAGCAAGGGGAAAAGCCGCAGGAGCCTTTTATGAAGATGAAACAGAAGGGGTGTGCCTGCTCTGCCTTTTTGTATTCCTACTCCCACTGCAAGTGTGCGTGTGTATGTACATACACTGCACATGGATGCTAACCGTACAGCTACATAGTGACAACCTTTCATTAATGACAGGTAAATGCCATTCATCTTAGCCAGGTGTTGCCTGCCTATGTGGTATCTCAGCTCAGTCTGGGGTTTATAAAACTTTCATTCCCTGCGTGATTCAAATCTGACCCGCATCAAATGCTGACTATCTGCTCTAGCTGAATACATGGATAGGATCACAGCCAAGTGCATTTTGGCACGTTTTGAATGTTTTCTCTTGAGAAAGTGCAATACTGGTGAAACTTATAAGCTGACAAAATTTTCAACACTCAGATATTAAGTGGACAGATAGGTTCAATTCAATCTTCTTGGAGGACTCTGCCTCTCTTTTCTTCTTGGCACCACTTTGAGTTCAAATATGCGATGGGATGCGGGACAAATATTTTCTGATTAAGGGTGATGTTGTAAGGCTGCTGGAATTACTTGCTAGTCTGGGTAACATTACAAATCCACTCATTTAGAAATCTGTGTTATTAACAACCTGATCCTTGCTCGATTCCACCCACTTTGAAATGCATTAGCTGTGTCAAGCCAACAGCTGGATTGCTGAAGTGTTTTTTTCCCTCCTGCCAGGGCAGGGCAGAGTTGGACGCAGCAATTCTCAATTGTGCCCCAAACGGGACAGGCAGTGGAAGAGAACGCACAGCCACAGCTGTGTTGTGTGACAAGAGCCCACAATACAAGGATCAGAGCTAAGGGCAATGACAACTTATCTGAATAACCCCTCCTTCATTTCCAATTTTCAAGCTGCCCTGCCATGGCCCTGGGAAGGCTGATGCCCCAAACCAGGCTAGGTCTTCCAGTCAACCCTGTGTGCCCCATACAGCCATAGAACTGTCCTCATTGCAGGACCTGTTGTAAAGCCACGCTCCTCCTACGCAGCCTGACCAGGAGCTTTGCCTCTCCATTCTCCCTTTCACACTGCAGCTGCCTCTCTTTTGAGGATTCTGCATTATTTATCAGGACCAACTGTCAACCCTCATGTCAGAAATTTGCAAAAGAGAGGAGCATCCATCCTGCCTTCCACACAAGGCATGGTCCTGGATCTGGACCATCCATTTGGCCTTTAACTGTACAGGATTTGACTTGGCTTTTGTGATTTATCTGTCCTGCTGGACTATTGATTGTTAATCTGTCCTGTGCCAGCTAAAGGCCAGGGCTCATTTCCTTCTATTTACAAATCACAGTCACCTCTGCCCCCGCAAGTCAACTTTAAATTAAGGACAGTGTTCTAAATCTTAAGATTAACAGTGTGAGCCTGGTCAGAAGTACAGTCAAGAGATAAGAAGAGAAAGAAGCATCATTCACTCTTGTTTGGACCTTTATTTTTTAGCCTGGCTTCCTCAGGAAACACATGACCACACTGCCTGAGTGTGGATATATGCGTGCGCATGTCTCTCTCTTCCACTCCCCATCCCTCAATTCATTTTGACAAAATGATCTTTTTCATCTCAGTCTGATGGTGTCAAAGCTATTAATTTCCAACAAGTTTTACGAAAATGAGCAGCCAATCAGAGGAGACAGATCACAGCAGGCTGCAGCAGAATTCCCTCTTCTTCACTAGAAACTAGTGAACACAAAGCAGAGGCTTTATAAATACTCCAACCCTAAAGCTTCAGCTGAAATTTCAATTAACCTGGATGCTAAACTGTGGGAAACCAGCTTCATTCACTCTGGCATGTCTTAGTGCTTCCTGATATGTGATCAGTTACCTTCATTCCTAAATTCCCTGTTTCCATTGCCTGTGTCATCTTCATTAGCTCTTGCTACATTACTGCCGGGTGTTTAGAAACAATTTTAATGATGCTTGGGAAATTTATTTTCCCTACTTCAGAAAATTTTTCTCCTGTATCCTGAGTCATTATACCCACACTGGATGTCCAATAGCCCTCATGGCAGATATCAACCACAAATTTTCTGAAAGTTCCCTCAGTACAACCCTCTTCACATACTCTACTGACCTTGCTTTATTGCCTGTGCATATACAGCCTCTATGCCTCTCTGTAGCTTTTTGGAAACTTTGATAAGAGCAGTCCATTCTGTGCCTTCCATTTGTATTTGGAAGGAAATGCTCGTCAGTGTTTTTAAGAAGAAAGTCACTTTTATTTATCGCCATACCCATTCAAGGCAGATGACATATTGCTCACTTCAGTTTATCTTCCCACAGAATGTATTTTATTATATGAACTGCACCTTGCCATTCTCTGTGGCAGCTTTTACCATAAATTACAATACGGTGAAATGTTCTTTCCTCTGGTCATTTCACAGTTATAAACCAAAGGTCTTAGGAGCGATGAATTCAAGCAGCTTCCCTTCTTATTTATCTTTTTTTAACATGACTGATAAATTCCGATAAAACATGTACAGAAAGATCAGTTTCATCTTAAGACTAAAGACAGAATTCGGTTGTAGTAAGAAATAACAACTCTACAAAGAGAAGCATGATTTTCCACACAGCTGTGCCTCCAGGTAGTTGACTTGCATGCCCAGTAAGGTCTAAGCTCTGAAACTTCTCTAGTGGCTGGGGCAAATGAATCTGAATTAGATTCTTTGATCTCTTCTAAAGGATGAGTTTATATTGCAATCTTTCAAAACTTACAGGAACACTATCTTTGCAATTGTCATTTCACTCCCAAATTTCCCTGAAATTGGTGAACAGACTCAACTACGTCAGAGGGTGGCAAGGACAGGTAAGCCAGGAGAGAGGTAGACAGTGTCATCATAACCCACCTTCTCCCAAATTTTCTAAAGAAACAGTGCTAGAATGGAATAATACAGCACTGCCAAAAAGCCACAGGTAATGATCTTGCAGAAACCAAGAGAAAGAAAAAGACACCTTTGTCTGCTGCTGTGTCCTTGGTTTGGACTGTGTAAATGCAGGCATGAATTTGTAGATTAAGATCCTTACTACCTATTCCCTTTCTTCTCCGCATTTAGCCTCCTGAATTATGGGAGGTTCCTAATACAAATACTGTCCTCTGCAATATAGGTATATATTCTTTATCTGGGTGTGAATTCTTTCTGCTAAGGAATGATCACACAGAGAAAATACACTAGGCATGGAAATCTCCTCTCTGGCCTCATTTCAAACAGCACTGCACAACGATGTCTCTTTAAAGGAAGAGTCAGCACTACCCGACAGTCCATGAAGGGATTTCTAAGAGACGCATTGCATGTAACAATTCAGAAATGCTTGTAAAGAGAATCCAATATTCACCATTCATAAAACACAACCAATAAACAGGGTATTAAAAATTTATCCTATTTAGTGTATGAGTCACATTTTATTTTCACACCTTGCACTAAGCTAAGCTTTGACTTATGGTTTTGCTTCCTTTTGTCACTCAAGAGAGACAAAGTTATTACAGCAGCTGTACAAATATTTCATTTCAGAAGGTGATATAACCTCTGTGCCAGGCACAAATGTATATATGTAAAACTCCATAAATGTCTTTGTAATTTACTCCTCAACAGCATGTGAAAGAAAATGTTTTATTTTTTTCTAGAACTTTTTAACAGACTTTTTAAAAGATGTCACACTAAATGATCATTTTTGGTCTATTGGACTCAGACATCACTTTCAGATACAAGACGGTTAAACTGCAGCTAATTATTTCATCTAGTTATTTGCCTCAGATGAATTAAATCAATGGTGGCTTCTAATAAAAGGCAGATACTCTTATACTTAATCCATTTCCGCTGCAGCTGTACTGCTGTGCTGTAGGAAAAGGGTGCTTACTGATTTGGAGCAATTAGAGCAATGTAAATCATGAGTAATTCCATTAAACCTAAAAATATGATTTAACTTATGTGCTCATTATGGGCTAGACTGCACCGGCTTTAACTCAAGCAAAACAGAACCCTGCTGTGCAGATGCTCCTTTTGAAACCAATGGGTTATCGTTACTCGCAGTAGCACGTCACAGCCTGTCCCTCCATGAGGAAGTGCCTCTCTGAGCAGATGGGCCAGTATTAAGCAGTGCCCACTGTCAGAGCTCCCCAGCTTTAGGTTTTTGGTTCCATGCTGTAAATACAGACAGTGAACCGAGACTGCAATGAGCGGGACGTTTTTGGAGAATTACAGAATTAGTAAGAGACAAATGGAGCTAAAAGTCAGTAAACCCAAAAGTGTCCACTGGGTGA